AGGCCTGAGGCGGCTGCTCGGCTGCCATGAAACACGATACCTGTGTGTGTGTGTGAACGTCACTATTCACAACAGACTCCCCAGCTCCCACTCAGCACAGGACAAGGGCTCAGAGATACTGTAGGTGATCGACAGGTCTCCCTAGAGCTAATGACACGTTTTAGGGAAAAGCCGGAGTGGCCGGCAGCAAGGGCTAGTGGCCACCAAACAAAAACTCCTCATGAGAACCCTGACTAGACAGAGAGCCTCAGGACACAGCCCAGATTCACCCTCTCTGCAGAGCACATGGCGGTCGGGGGCGGGGGGCACTCCTCCCCCACACCACGCCTAGCCCAGGGGAGGGCCGGGACCACACCCTCCTGCACCAGGCCCCGCCTTCCCCCAGCTGCCCTCCCATGGCAAGTGGGGGCGGGGTCACGTGCCCCCGCGACACACCCGGGGCGTCATACAAACGTTATGTCAGTGAGTCTCCAAGGGACTCTAGGGAGGGAGAATTTCGCTCCTACAAACAAGCTCAGTGCATCAGCCCTAACCATGGGGGCCGCCAGCTGCTTGGCTATGCCCCAGCCAAACACGCTGAAGACCGGACTCCTCTGGACTTAGGTGACCTGCCCACAGGCCTCTTCCTCACCTGGCTCATGACACAGGTAGGAGTAAAACCCCTCCGATTTCAGCATGATGAGCAGCGATCCCCAGCCCAGCAGCACAGCAGAGAAGAGAAGATTCTCTACAACAGCGGTGCAGGCCATCCACCAGCGACGCCGATGTGCAGTAGCCAGCGTGGGAGCCATTGCGACGCGGGGGGGCGCTTCTTTCTCTAGGATCTAAACCTGGAGCAATTTGAAAACAGGACATGAATGATTAACCAGTTAAAGGGGGGGAGGAGGTGGTGCTGGAGCCAGAGCAAGAGGGCCGCTCCAGCCCAAAGGGGCCCACCACGAGTGAGGATGCTCCAGCCTAGCTGGAGCAGCGCCTGCCCACCCGTTTAAGCAGTTAACTGATTAAATGGGATTTTACACCCCTCCCTCCCATGCATCAGTATTTATAGAGTTAGACTGCACGGTTGCTACATGAAACAATTCAAATACAGAGCTCTGCTCTGACAGATGTGCACAACTGCACCCTACATAGAAGCCACTGAGGCATGAAACTACCCTCTGCAGAATGAAATCCAAAGGGCCAATGCCAAGCAGCCCGGAAGAGCAGGGAGTCCCTGTTCACCCAGACTGACAACGCCCCCACTGCTACACACGTTGCTCTCCAGGGGAGTGTGCAGCGCCTCCGTTCTACCCGCTGAGCAGCAGGTATGAGAGCCCAGCAGGGTGAAACCCCAGCAAGCGAGCTGCTCGGGACCCATTTTTATGCTTGCCACCTGTAGGGGGGACCCAGCAGACCTCCAATGAGCAATACAGCATGTGGCCAAAGGGTCAGTCTATCTGCAGCACGGAAGGCAGAGGCAGCTATGATCTGGTTATCTGGGCCCATGCCATCTGAGCCTTCTCAATCATTCTGGGTCCACAGGACACGAGCTGATGACAGAGTCACCCTACTCTGAAATGTGGCTCTACGCTGAAGAGTAATGGGGAGTGGAAGCAGCCACTGGTTTTGGCTGCCCTACTGAAAACAGCCTGGGCCTTCTTTTCAAGGCCTCCGACGCCAACAACAGGCCACGTTGAAAAACATGGGACTTTGGTTCCGGAGCACAGGGTCTATCTCAAGGGCCGTCGGGAGGATTGTGGATCAATCTAGACTCTAGATCAGGATTCTCCAGACTATCGTGCCTCGTTCATGAGCCGGACTCTGCCACCTCACGTGGAAACTCTCTGGCCGCCCAGCTCCGACCCGTGTTCCGTGTGATGGGAACTATGCTACAGGGATGGTTCTCTGGCCTGCCAGTGTGGGGGACCAAGGGGCGCACCAGCAGCAGCACAGACGTAAGGGAGGCATCACCTCCCTGGGCAAGCCTCACCTCTGTGCCGCTGCTGGCTGCCCTCAGAGCTGGGCAGCTAGACAGCAGCAGCTTTTGGCCAGGCTGGCTTTTAACTCTGGCTCCCCTCCCACTCTGCAGGATCCACCCCATCCAGTCCTGCAGCAGGTTGCACTGTATCCCTCTCCCACCGTAGGGCGAGGGGCCGGCAGCCCGGGACCCAGCCCTGCTGCAGGGCCCTGGCCCCAGTGGAAACGGGGCCAGCGGGCGCA